TCCGTTTGGGCTCAGGCTGGATATCCTTCTGGAATTTTCAAGGGCTCTGTTCATCCTCCTCCCAGAATTCCTGGAGAACAGAAATCAGATGGGACTGAGAGGGGTAGGGTCGCAGGGCTGGGATCCAGGACCCCGGGGCCACTTGTCTGCACCATTTCCTGTGTCCCATAGAAGGGAGAAGCCCTCTCCCACCGGGGCCACTGGGATTTTTGCCTTGACCTTACCTTGTAAGGTAAGCCTTTGTTTTCCTATCTATGTGCTTCCTACCAAACTGTGAACTCCCAGAAAGGAGAATTGTCACCATTTTATCTTCATGTCCCCAGCACTTGGCACAATGTAGGCGGTCATTAAGTATTTGTCAGGTAAGCCAATACACTGTGCCTAGGCATAGAGTGCCCCCTGGTGGATTCGGGAATACGGCGGTGTCTTGGGTCTTGGCCCCAGCAGTCACCCTGGAGGGACGCATCCTGACCCTCTGGTTCTGGGCAGCCCATCCAAGTGTGAGGTCATGTGGGGCTGGAGTCCGTATAGTGGTCCCTGGAAAGGCATGGCTATCCTAGGATGATGAGGGACAGATGAGGAAGGGACACCCCAGGCAATGGGGAAAAGAAGGGTTGAAAGGAGCCTGAACTGTGGTGCAGAAGAGCGAGGACCAGGAGGGCTGCTCTGTTGGCCTTGGATGCTAAGGAAGCGGCACAAGCTGTGGCCCATTTCACTTTCCCCTCGAGCACCGCAGGATGGTGGTGATGTGCTAAAGCCAGTAGAAATAACAACCCCAAACCTTTATGGAGCACGGACACTGGGGAATCTTGTGATCATTAGCTTCATTTTATAGGGGGAGAAGCTGAGGCTCAGAGAAGTTAATAAGTCAACCAAGATCACACAGCTTGTCAGTGGCAGGACTGGAATTCAAAGCCAGGCCATGAGTATAAGTCCCTGCTCCTTATCATCATCAGCATATTCATTTGCTTTCAGAGACAACCTGGTGGGTCAGATGCCGGGGAAGGGTTGGGGCTGGGACACCAGATCCCACAAGCTTTGCTGTTATGTCGAGTTCCCCTGTACGAACGCCTGCCCTCTGTCTCTGGAGAGTTTTGGTTATCCAGGGGTTAGAGTGGCTCCCTGAAGTCAAGTGCATGGCTAACTTCTGTGCCTCCTGCCCCTGCTCCTGGGCATGTCCAGGGTCTGTCTGAAACCTCTCTTCTCTCCTGCATCCTCCCTCTTCCCCAGGGCGTGGGTGCCGTGCCAGGGCTCCACCCAAATCAACGGAGTCAGAACTTCAGGGTGCGCTTGGGTGGGGGAAGGGGAAGGAAGCTGGAAAGGTGGCCCAGGCATGGGTATTTTTTTTAAAAAGCTCCCCAAGGGAGTCTAATATGCATCCATGGTCGAGAACCCTTGCGGGCTTCCGTGTAAATAACTTTAGTCAGTGGGACTGGAAAGCTGTATGGGGATCACTCCCCTTTCTGCTTCATCCGCGGGCGCCCCCCCCTAGTGCTGCGCTGTCTCTTCTCCATCCCCACCCCTCCCTGGACAGACACACACGTGCACCCCTGAAGCCACCCACCACGAAAGCCGAGCCTCCTATTTCCTAGAGCTGGAAACTCAGGAACGTGCGAGCTCTCATCCTTGGGTCTCCTCCCCGCGTGGCCGAAACACACGTTCAGAAAGGGGCTCCTGTTGACGGGGAGCCTTGGCGTGCTCGGGCCTTGAACCCAGAGCCTTCCAGGAGGGAGCTTAACTGGGAGAGAGGGCAGGGAGGTTGACGCGTTTCCCTGCCTCTGCCTTCTCAGTGCCGGAGCTGAGGCTGCTGCTCTGCCACCCCCACCTGCAGCCTCAGCCCCGCCCCTCTTCTAGAACAGTCCAGTGGGGCAACCGCCTGCTCAACCTAACAGGCAGCTAGGCAGTCCCAGGTGGGCCTCAGAGCTGGCCGTCTGGATGAGCATCTGAGCGTCCCCTGGGTCTCCCGGGCTGGGAGCCAGGAGCCCGAGAGACCCCCGAGCCTGAGTTCCGACGTCTTCCATCCCCCCTGGGCAGCCCGGCCCGAGAGTGGGCTCTGTCCTGTTCTTCTCTCCATACCTGTCGTCCTCCCTGCCCCGGGTCCTCGTCCCCTACAGAGGATCCCCCTGCCTCTCTGAAGCCCTCACCTTCTCTCTCCAAGGGGCTGGAGTCTTCCCCTTCTTCCTGGTCTACTAGGCTGGAGGATCTGGAGGGATCAAGGCCACACACCTGGATATGTGTACAGAAGCCTTTCGGCTTCCTGGCTTAAGAAACAAAGTTACCATATGGTGATTAACATAACAATAAAAAAATTAAAAAAAAAGAAACAAAGTTACCTGAGAAAGCCGGCAGTGCTGGCAGCCACCGACAGATGGCGCTATGGACCGCCCATAGCTGGCCAATTCCAACTTTTCCTGGATTTCCTTAGGATTCTAGGGAGAGCAACTTCTCTCTACCGGCAGCCCATTGCACTGCCGCTTGCCTGCCGGGTCCGCTGCCTGATTTGTGTTCTCTAGTTCTGGCCACCTGTTGGATCTCCCGGGCGCCGCCCCACAGCCTGCCTACTCCAAGACTGGGTTTGGCCATCAGGCTCACCCCAGCTCTACTCTGTCCAGTCTGTGCTCACTCCCCACCCGACCACCCCATTCTCTGGGGCCTTCATGTGTTCCCTAGAGCCAACCAGAGCCGGGGCAGACAGGCAGGGATGCGCTGGGGTGGAGCCCAGGTGGAGCCAGGGGGCAGTCAGGAGTTGAGCATGGAAGGTGCTAGAATTCAGGAGTGCAATGGAGCCAGAGAGGAGTGAGCTGGGCACACGAGAGGCCAGGCCAGGGCAGTGGCTCTTGCCTTCAGCGCTACTGACGAGCAGACCCTGCACTTCTGCACTTTATCCCTCACTTCCTTGGGAGAGGTAGACACCCATTCCCTCTGTTGAAGTTTTTAACGACTTTGGTGCTTGGTTTGTAGACAGCCTTCCCCGTTCCTCTCACATTGCAGGAAGGAGGGAATCAGCTCTTTGAAATATTAACATTTGGTTAGTGCCAGGTAGGGTCTGAGGGGGATTGGGGCAGAGGAGGGAATAAAAAACAAGAGGGACCTGGGACGCCTGGGTGGCTCAGTTGGTGAAGTGTCTGCCTTCGGCTCGGGTCACGATCCCGGGGTCCTGGGATCGAGCCCCGTATCGGGCTCCCTGCTCATCGGAGAGCCTGCTTCTCCCTCTGCCTGCCACTCCCCCTGCTTGTGTGCTCTCTCTCTCTCTGATAAATAAATGAATAAAATTTTTTAAAAAGATAAAAAAAAGAAGGACATACAAAGATCAAGATGGATAGGTGGCTGGGGGTGGTGGTGGAGAGAAGGTCTTTGGGCTCACATTCACAGTGGGCTTCAAATTTGTTTTTTAAAGATTTATTTATTTATTTGATAAAGACAGAGTGTGTTGGGGGGTGCAGAGGGAGAAGGAGAGAGAATCCCAAGCAGACTCCATGCTGAGTGCAGAGCCCAATGTGGGGCTTGATCTCACCACCCTGAGATCATGACCTGAGCTGAAACCAAGCATCAGACGCTTAACCGATGGTGGCCCCAAGGTGCCCTGAAATTTGTTTGTTTTTTTTTTAATTTAGGTATAACACCATAATATTTACTCATTTTGTATGTGTACTTCAATAATTATAAGTAAATTTACAGTCGTGCAACCATCACCAGAACTCAACTTTAGAATATTTCTTCAAACTTAGTATTGACATTATTCCTAAGTGAGTTTGTCCTTAAAGTCCCAGAGTTTATGGGACTTTCCCCGCTGGGAAGGAGAGAAGGTATCGTTCCCATAAGCTCTGCACCTGGGTCCCATTGCCAGCCCACACCGTGTGTTAATATTTTATAAACTTTGTAACTGTGTGTGTGCTGCATGTCAAAAGCCTTGATTTGTTAAATGCTCTCATTTTCATTAATCCTTTTTTGGACTTTTCATTTTGTAATATACTAAGAGACTCGGGTAATGGAAGTGGGTCAGACCTGTCTGGATCCCGGGGAGGCACAGAAAAACCAGAAAGAAATAAAGAACACACCAGACTCAGGCAAGGCGAGGCAACACGAGGAGCTTCACGTTCACTACCAGGCAGCATGTATATTCCTCACCTGCTGCCTTGGAACAGGGAGGGAGACACGGTCCTGTCTATAGTTGCCGCTCACCTACTGCAAAGTCCTATGAACTCTCGGCTTGCCTGAGTTCTTGGCTTTGAAATACATGCATTCTGGGCAACCCTCTTCGGTCCCCTCCCTCTTCCAGAGCTCCGTACTCTCAATAAACTTGGCTTTGCTGCCCACCAAAAAAACAAAAACCACATGCATTCTACCAGCTTCTGGAAATGTCTGTGGGAAGGCTGCCGTGGGTGCTGGGACAGAAAAGCAGGGGGGTCAAGGAGGTTATAGGAGTGTGTACGTGTGTTTGAGGAAGCTGCTGAACTTCCTGAGGTGGGGTCATTTCCAGAGTGTCAGAAACTCACATATTCTGGGCGCCTGGGTGGCTCAGATGGTTAAGCGTCTGCCTTCGGCTCAGGTCATGATCCCAGGGTCCTGGGATCGAGTCCCGCATCGGGCTCCCTGCTCAGCGGGAAGCCTGCTTCTCCCTCTGCCTCTCTCTCTCTCTCTCTGTCTGTCTGTCTGTCTCTCATGAATAAACAAATTTTAAAAAAATCTTAAAAAAAAAAAAAAAGAAACTCACATATTCAAGCCAAATGTGCTTCCCGAAGCCAATATTAGAAGTGTTTGAACGGACCGCTTGTTGGTTCTTTCCACACCCACCCTCTGTCAGGATAGGGGCAAGAGCCCACAGGGACTGTTTTCTGTTTGTCTGGCATCATTCTAAGAGGCCTGGGGCTGCCCTTGGGTGAGGAAGGAGGAGGAAGCAGAAGGTCAAGATGGGGAGTCCGAGGGGAATGAGAACTCCCGGGCAAGCCCATCGATTTGTCGGCCGCAATTGCCCAACATCCTCTTCCCCATCGCACTCCCGGGGTGGCCGTTCGGTGCCCTCCACTGCTTTCTAGAACCAGCTCTCCCCCTGCCCTGAGCAGTCACCCACCGGAGAGGCGTGGTACGGCGGACAGAAGTTGGGGTTCTTGCAAGTAAGTCCTCTCATCTCTCTGAGCGTGAGGGGCAGAGGTGAGCACGGCTCAGGGCGTGACTTCAGTAACCAGCAGCCTAAGTGACGGACAGGTACAGTCACCTCTCTGCTGTCGTGGTGAGCCTCCCGTGGGGGGTGGGGCGCAGGGCCGGCAGCACAGCTCCCATTTCACAGGAGGAAGCACTGATGACCGACTGAGGCTGCGCCTGCAGCTGGGATGCAGCTCAGGGCCAGGACACAAGGGCCGGACCTCCGTACTCTGCTAACCCCCGCGTCACAGGCAGGGGTCCTCCGGGGCTGGCTCCCCTCACCCACCCCCTAGGCTATCAGCTGTGATTCAGGAGACACAGGAGGCCACTGCTGGCTGGAGGCTGCCCCTGGGCATCTGCCCACTTCGTGTGTCCCCGGGGCTTCGGGAGAGGACAGCCCGTGAGCACTGGATGCTGCCCCTGCCGCCCCCTCTAGGTGTGCAGACTGCTGGTCTCTGTCGGGCCTAGTTTCTGCTGAGCAGTAGCTTAGGGTAAGTGCACAAACCCTAAGCGCTCTGTTGGATGGATCTTAACATGCTTGCACCATTTTAAGTTCTATTGCCTTTCCTCCTCCCGAGGATGCACTTTGGCACGAGGACGAGAGAGGCCTTGACGGCCTGGGTTCTCTGTATCTATCCCCAGTTCTGGGCAGTGTGGTGGGCATGTGAGCCTGGGGCTGCAGGGGCCTGTGTGGTCCCTGCTCTCGTGGAGTCTTACCGTGAAAAGGAGGGCATTCAGCGACACCCCGGCGTGGGTGAGCAAACACAGAAACAGAAGTTGCAAGGGAGAGGGTTCAGAGGGGCCTGGGGGAGGCAGGCGTATCTTCTGAGGGGATGGCTTGAGTGCAGCCTTGAGTGAGTGAGTAGGGGGGCATGGAGGAGGCTGAAGGTGAAGGAATGACCCTGAAGAGTCACCCATGCCCCTCCCGCTGCTGATGCCCCAGTCCCTGTGACTGGGCTTTTGAGGAGCCCCAGGGCCACCCCTCCGGGTAGAGCCCAGAGCAGACCCCGGGTGGATGCTCTCGCTGAGTTCCGCAGGCTCCCGTGGGACCAGGTCTTAGTCTTGGTCCTCTCTCTAGGGTGCAGACATTCTCTCCAGGTGCAGGCACCTGTGAGGGGGACAGGGCCTGCACAGAGCAGCAGCTCTGTGGATAGGAAGCCCTGGAAGCACTCTGGGGGACAGAGAGCGTCCTCAGGCCTCTGGCCAGGACCACCACCCATCTGCTCACCCACAGTTTCATCTCAGGCTAGAACACAGTGTGCCCAGGGTCAAGCCAGAGAGTGTGTTATGGGCCACGACCAACTGGTTGTGGACTGTGACCCTGGGACTATGGAATGCACTGGAATATGGGTTGGTCCAGCTTGCCTGGGCCCCTGGAGGATCTGGCCATGTTGGAGTAGCTTCTCTTGAGATGGGCAGGAGGGTGAGGTGCGGGCAGTCCCAGGGAGTCCAGCGGAGAGGCAGGCTGGGCCAGACTGGGAAACCAGAGGCTTCCAGGGCTCTGTCCTCCTTCCCGGCTGCCCTTCCTCCACTGCTTCTCATTCACAGTTATTCCTTTGCCTCCAGGGATCCTGAAGATATTAACCCCCTGGAGACAAAGCATCTGGTACATAGTAAGTGCTGGTTCTCCCCTTCCCTCTCATTACGGACTCACCCAATGGTCAGCTCCCTTCTCTGGCCAGCCGGTCGTGGGGCCACTTCCTGCTGGTCAGCCCTCAGTGCCCAGCCTCTTGGCTTTTGGTCACACTTGAGGGGTACCCACAGTGGGTGAGGGGACCTGGAGCCCCGGAAAGGAAGAGGCAGAGTGATGGGGAGCCATCGACTGTCCAGGAAAGAGGGCAGCTCTGAGATTGTGCCCCCTTGGAAAGGGAAGTTCTGCCGAATGGCCCCACAGCTAAATGGCCCCCAAATCTTTTCTGGGGCCCCTACCGTTCACAGGACTCAATGTGGTGGTTGCTGCTACTACTCTGTCTGCCCAGAGAGCCCCCATCCAGCACTGTCCACCCCGTCCCCACTGGCCTCCAAGCACCTGCGTCCACACTGGGAAGACGCTCCAAACCTGATGAGCCCCAGGCCTGCAGGTCTCGGGCTTGGTCTTCCCCTACATCATGTCCACTAGTGGTTATTAGAGAGTAGGGTGAAAGTGTCACTTCCCTAATCTTCTAACAGCATGTGGCAATTTTTTTTAAAGATTTCATTTATTAATTTGAGAGAGAGAGAGAGAGCAGGGGGAGAGGCAGAGGGAGAGGGAGAGAATCTCAAGCAGACTCCACGCAGAGCGCGGAACCCGAAGTGGGGCTCAGTCTCGTGATCCTGAGATCATGACCTGAGGTCGGACACTTAACTGACTGTGCCGCCCAGGTGCCCCAGCATGTGGCAATTTTGCATCAATTCGTTTCTTCTTTAGTGTTCGTGGACAGGTTGGGGCCGGCAGGATAGAGTCCCCTGCCCTTCCTCCTCCAGGAGTCCAAATGTTTCTCTGGGCTCCTAAGAGGAATTGCACCCCACAGATTATTTGTGAAGCACACCTCCCCCTATTGAATCCTATTTTCCTATTGCCTTTCTTTTTTTTAATTTTTAAAATTTTTATTTTATTTATTATTTATTTTTTATTTTTATTAAGGAAGCTCCACACCCAGCAGGGAGCCCAGTGCAGGGCTTGAACTCACAACTCCGAGATCCGAGCCAAAATCAAGAGTTGGACCCTTAACCCACTGAGCCACCCAGGTGTCCCCCTTTTGCCTTTCTTTAAAGATGTATTCCCTGGGGGAAAGACTGACCTAACGACATTATTACCTCACATTTGAGTATATTTATAATTATTACACGGTTTATTCCCACAGATTGGCTGTGATCGTCGGCATTTTGAAGGAGCCCCAGATTTTACCCACGGTTGTACCAGCTCCAAGTGGACCAGCCACAGGAGATCCCAGTCTCCTGCTTCTCAGTCTGGTGCGTCCCCTTCTTAACCTTGACATTCAAGACCGTCGCAGCGCCTTTTGGTGTTTGAATTGGAAAATATGCACTTCTGGGGAAGCTTTATAATTATTAGGCCAAGTAAACCACCAAGTATGACACCTCTCCCACAGTCTCCTGTTCCGTTCAAGATCTTGATGTTGGATCCCCACGAGCTTTAGTTAATCTGTGACTGCATTGTCATAGAAATTCTTCTGATGCCTACCTAACTCTGTGCTTGGAATCTTCCAGAGCAGAATGGGCAAGTCCTCTTGGTTCCCTTGTGCTTTCCCCGGGGAAGGTATTCCTGTGGCCAGAAGGGAGGAGGAAAGTGAAAATCCTCCAAGGGGCAGGGAAGGAAGGGTATTCTCGGGACTCCAGAGCTAGTGCAGGACTCCTTCTGGGTGACACTCAAGAGTAACCATAAGCACTCGTGATGTCACATGTCAGGGTTGGTTTCCTCTGCTCATGTGGCCATTCTGTGCAAGCTGAGGGCACTTGTCACGGGAAATGTGTGTGTGTGTGTGTATGTGTGTGCATATTTAGCATCTGAACTCCAGGGGGACCAGGGCAGGAGGGGGTCCTTGTAAGCTTGCTAAGTCCCCACTCTGTGCCCAGCCCTGAGCTGGGACTAGTAGGGGCTGCGGAGGAAGGAAGGTCACAGCCTGGGGACACGTTTCCAAGAGTAAGAACCATTCAGGGACTCTGAGGTCACTGTTCCAGCTTGGGGGTCTGGGCCTTGAGCTGGGGGCTCATAGAAAGGGGAGCTCCCTGGGGCAGCCTCACTGTGGGTGCAACCAGGGCTGGAGAAGGACGCTGGCCCTGGCTCCGCCCCACTGGGTGCTCACCCTGACCACAAGGAAACCGGAGGAATTAATGGGCCCAGAAGGAAGGAAGCCAGGCCCTGTGGTCTTGGGGGTGTGATGGAGGGGGGGCGGGCGCAGGCCTGAGGCGCTGTGGTAAAGCAGGGGTCCCGGCCCTGGAAATGCCTGTGGGATCTGTGACACAGCTGGGATGGGTCAGAGGGTGCCTGGGTCCTCGGGGTCTCAGCCCATCACGGTCCCCAGAGGCTTTGCTCCCTCGGTGCCCTTCATTTTCTGACCAGCTCAAGAAACAGAACCTGAAGATCCTGAACCAGGAAGCAGGCGCACAAAGAAAAGCAGAAGTGGAAGACTTGGAGACTTGATCCTCCTCCTTGAAGGGGCCTAAAGCCGCCTGGTGCTGTTGCCAGTGACACCTGTGCCGGAGGGATGACCTGGCAGGGCAGGGTCGCGTGGCTGCCTTGCGCACTGCTGCTTCTCTGGGGCCCAGGTGAGGGGCTGCCCGGACTGAGTCTTCCCCGGGGAGGGAGGCTGTGGGGGGCAGGGCTGCAGGGGAGGTGGCGGCGGGTCAGCGCTCGAGTCTGCGCTCCGCACAGATCTCGGAGCAAGGTGAGCTCTGTCCAGCACGGACGTTGACGGATGGAAGGACTGCACCCTGGAGGGGCCAGGTGTGACTCCGGGTCATGCACCCCACCTTCCCTGAGCCACAGCAGGGTGCCCAGAGGGGCTTTGTGGGAAGTTTCGGAGGAATTATTACAGGAAAAAGGAGGAGAAAGCGGGTGGCCGGAGAGTGGGTGGGAGAGTGGCGGCTGAGCCTACCGAGGGGAGGGGCCGGAGTCTGGTGCAGGGCGCGCGGGAGGGCCACGCTGTCGGGGACACGGAGGTGTGTAGCCAGGGCAGCTCGAGGGGCCAGACCCGAGGGCCAGGGGCTCTGTCTCCCCAAGACAGGGAGATGGGGCCAGAGCGGAGGGGAAGGTGGTGGGGATGAAGGGGAGGGCGGAGAAGGCACGGGGACGGAAGGGAAGTGAGCTTCTCCGTGGAGCAGAGGGCTCCCTGTTTCTGGGGATCCGGCTTCTGTGTCTCTCAGGAGCTCGCCGCACACAGGCATGCACAGCCTCATCAGGTCTATCCCTGGGATATTTAAAATCCTTTTGGTTGTTTTGATGATAAATTGCACATTTTCTCTGGCTTTATTTGCTGACTAGTTGTCCACAGGAAAGCTACTCTTTTGTGTATTAATTTGGAAGCAGGTCACCCCCGCACGGCTCATCTGTCCCTTACCCTCTAGTGTGTCCTCGTGTTATGAGATCTGTCTGCAGCGGGAGTTTGTGGTTCCTTCGGGATATCCGCTTGTCTCCTTTGTTTCTCTCATTGGCCACAGGCTGGTACGGCCAGAATGATGCCCAGGACAGAGGTGGCAGGGACCATCCCTGCCTTGTCCCTGATGAGGGTAGGTGCTCAGTGTTTCCCATTAAGCGTGAAGAAGGCGCCCCCTTTTGTCTCTTTACAAAGTGGTTTTTAAAAACAGTAGCAATGGGTGTTGGATGCTTTTTCATTATCTATGGAGATGATTATTTTTTCTTCTTTGAACTATTAAGCTGGTGAATTATATTAAGAAATTCGGGCCAGACTTTAGTCTCAATATATCATGCTGCCTTCATGAAGAGAATTAGGGAGGTTTCCCTGCTTCTATATTCTGTACAAATGTTTGAAGGTTTGAGAAAATCAATTTATAAAACTGTCTGGGTTTTACTCTTTTTTTTGGAAGACAACTTTTTTTGTTTTGGATTAACCCCCAGCTTTATTGAGGTATAATTACCAAATAAAAATTGTGCATATTTATGGCGTACAATCTGATGTTTTGATATACGTGGCACCTCACATACTTATCACCGGGAAAGGTCTCCTTGGTAATACACATCTTCACTGGTCTACATTAAAAAGAAATATATTCCGGGCCAATATTGGTAATTTATATTTTCCTAAATATAGAAAATGATTGGTTTCATCTAAGTTTACAGACTTACTGGTAGAGGCTTGCAAATAACCCTGGATATTTTTCTTATGAATTGTGTATGTGCATCTCCTCCTGTTTTTCTTGATTTGGCTACCACCAGAATGTTTGTCACTCCCATATGAAAAATCAGTTTTCCAATGTATATGCTAATTCCACTGCTTTTCTGTTTCCTAATTCACTAATTTCTACTCTGACCTTTTTCTTTCTCCCTGGGTAGGGTGACATGCATGTGTTCCTCTCCTGACTTCCTAGGTTGGAGGATTCACTTGTTCATCTGGGGTTTACTGGGATGAGATTTCATGACCCTGAGCAACCAGAAAGGAGGCTGGGGTCTGGAGGAAGGGGCTGCTGTGATAAAAAAAAAATCTTGGAGGTGACAGAAAAGGAGGGGGGTGACCAATGTGAGATGGGACAACTTTGGGGGGTGATTCCCAGGATGCCCCTGACCCAGGCCCATCTGGTGAAGGACCACACTCGGCTGTGTTTTCCAGGCTGTTCATCTCTGAGTGGCCCCACCTCTGTGACGGGCACCGTGGGGGGATCCCTGAGCGTGCAGTGTCAGTATGAGGAGAAATTCAGAGACATTGCCAAATACTGGTGCAAAAACGCATGTGTGTGGAATACTCTAAAGACCAAAGAGGCAGACAGAGAAACGAGGAAAGGCCGTGTGTCCATCAGGGACCATCCTGCAAACCTCACCTTCACAGTGACCTTGGAGAACCTCACAGAGGATGATGCAGGAACATACCGGTGTGGGATCGATACATCATGGCTCCCAGGACATTTGCTCGACTCCACCTTCCTCGTTGTGGTGTCTGTGACCCCAGGTGAGCTGTGCACCCTCCTCCCCCAGTGCCAGCACCAGGGCTGCCTGAAGGGTCTCAGTTTGGATTGGATGAGGCAGAAATCAGGCCAGAGGCTTGGAGCAAACTCTGAGGGTGTGTGTGTGTGTGTGTGTGTGTGTGTGTGTGTGTGTGTGTGTGTGGCAGGTAGTAGTAGGAGAGAGAGAGAGTCAGGGAGGCTTCGTGGAGAAGCTGGCCCCTCTGCTCACTCTTGAGAAGACAGGGTGTGCAAAGGAGAGAGGGAGAGCCTGGCACCAGCCCTGCGGACACCCAGAGCCGCGCTGCGGGAGGGTGGGAGCCGAGTGGAGAGGCAGGTGGCACCCACCGGGCGGTGAAGGTGCTGTGTGCAGCCGGAGCTCCAGCTAGGCGGTCAGATTTGCAGGTTAGACAGAGGTCTCGGGCAGGCAGCCTGTGGCTGTGGCCAGAAGGGGACGAAGCTGGAGTGCAGGGGTGACCTAGGGGCTCTCCCGAGGTCCTGACCCTCCTCCACAGGATGGAATCAGGACTGTTGGGGGCGGACAGTGCCCGTGTCCCATTTGGAAATGCTCACTTGGCTCAGGAGAGCTCTGGGGAGATGTTGGCCCCCGGAGTCCTCCATCCTGCCCCAACCCTGAGTGAGCATTCTGTGTGAAATCAAACCCCAAAGGTCCTGGCAAGTAGTGGGAGAGTCTGAGAGAGCTATCCTGAGTCTGATTTGTGTTTCTGCACCAGCAACAAAGTCCACCCCACCTGTCAGCATCACTGTAACCCAGATGTCGAAAAGCACAGCTAAAATTATGACCACACTGGCCCAGCCCTCCTCTGCTGCCCCAACCACCATGGGAGCCACCCGCAGTGCAAGCAGCCAGGAGGAATTCCCGCCGAGCCAGGGCCTGGGGTAAGGCGCCCTGTCCCCTGTCCCCCGACCCGGAGTTGGGCCCTCTCCTCAGGAGTTGCTCCAGGGCCGGGGAGAAGCTTCGGTGGGGATGGAAGGAAAGAGACTTCAGCAAGGGCCGATGATCCTAACAGGCACCTGCTACATGCCCTCTGTGCATGTTCTCATTTCACCAGAACCCGGTCCCATTACTGCCCCTGTGTTCCAGAGGAGCAGACAGAGGGGCTCAGAGAGGTTAAGCAATTCACCGGGTCACATAACTATGGGAGGCAGGCTGGGCTTCAGCCCACGTTTATGTGACTCAGAGTCTTGGGTTCTTCCTTCTAAACCTGCAGTTCTTGACCTTTTGGGGCACAACCCCCCAGGAGAATCCCACAGTGTTTATAGACTCTCTCTCCAGAAAAATATGCGCAGGTGTAAACCATTTCGGAGGTTCTCAGACTCCTTATCCGGGCACCACCTTGTGTCCTGGGATTCAACCCTGGAGCTGACCACCTGGAGTTAGCACAGACCCCAAAGGCAGAGGGCTCAGTCCCATAAGACTGCCTGACTTGGGATGCCAGAGCACTTTGGAGATCCCCAAGCTATCACGTTTCTGGCCAACCGGTTACGAATTTGGGAGTTCCCATGACCCCCTTGGGTTCTTAATCTGCTAGATAGCTCACAGAATGCAAGAAAACGCTCACTGTACTTACAAATATGGTTTTATCATAAAGGATAAAGGCCAGGACCAGTCAATGAAAAGACACATAGGGTGAGGTCTGGGAGGGTCAGTTCTGAGCGCAGAGCTTCCCTGCCAACTCCCAGGGGAATTGGGGCACGTCACCCTCCTGGGACATCGATGTGCTCACCAACTGTGAAGCTCCTGCGAGCTTTGATGCCCAGAATTCTTACTGGGGTTCCTTACCATGATTGGTTGAATCATTGGTCACGTGATTGAACTCAATCCCCAGCCCCGCTCTGCTCCCTGAATTTCAGGCTGGCTCAGAGCCTCAAGTCTCTATAATCGTAGGATCGGTCCTTCTGGTGACCAGCCCCAACCCTGACTCACCTCATCTCTTAGCATAAACTCAGGTTGATCCAAGGGGTCCTTGAATAACAAAGGCACACCTACTATTAGGGAAATCCCAAGGATTTAGAGCCTTCTTTCCAGGAGCCAGGGGCAAAGGCCAACCAGATTTTTTTTTTTTAAGTCATCTCTACACCCAACGTGGGGCTCAAACTCACGACCCTGCAATCAAGAGTCCCATGCTCCACCTACTGAGCCTGCCGGGCGCCTCCATTCAGATTTTTTATTATATGACACCCTGAAGCCCTTCCACAGGCCTCCTGGTCAACCCAAGTGGCAATCTTAACATCAGGCAAGGTGAAATTCAAGCCCCGAACACACAACTTCCAGAATTGACGGCAGATACACACACGGGGGCAGAGCTAGGTTCGTGCGGCTTGGAACCTGTGCAATTTGGTGTATGTGGGGGACGAGGTGCATCGTTAAGGAAAAGACTAGAACATTATGAAGGCAAACTGGACATAAAAGGAGGCCTGGCAAATGAGGGACCCAAAGTCAGCTTCCCATCTGCTGTGGTTTGTTCACAGGAGAAACGGCAGAGGTACCAGGCACCTGGGTGGCTCAGTCAGTCGAGCGTCCGACTCTTGATTTCGGCTCAGGTTGTGATCTCAGGGTCGTGGGACTGAGCCCTGTGCCCGGCTCCACACACAACAAAGAGTCTACTTGAGATTCTTTCTCTCTCTCTCAAAATAAATAAATAAATCTTTAAAAAAAGAGAAAGAAATGGCAGAGTTATAAGGCAGTTTTTTTGAGGCAGTGTATGTAATTACAAGAGACTGGGGGAAATGCCAATGAAGAGGGAAGAATTCAATAAATGATGGTCTGTCCATGCCATGGAATGGTAAGCAGCTGTGAAAACGTGTGGGGTCTTCTTCACGCACAGAGATGGAGAGATGTCCACGATGTATTTTGCCTCCTTTGTGTGAAAGAAGGAGGAAAATAATGTACATTTATGTTTTCTTGTTTCTGAGTAAGTAGCCTCTGGAAGGTTCTAAAATACACTGCTTGTGTGTAGAAAGGAGACTATACTATCTTTTTTTTTTTTTTGAAATGTGACCTTATCTATCTATTGCAAATAAGGGGGGGCGCTGCAAGCTCCCCGCCTGCTCAACACCGCCCTGTGTCCCCCTCTAGGCTCCAAGTACTCCTCTCCTTGTTGGCACTTCTGCTGCTTCTGCTGGGGGGCAGCTTGCTGCTGGCCTGGAGGATGGTTCGCAGACAGGTCAAATGTGAGTCAGTCCCCGGCCAGGTGAGGGGCTGGGCCGGCACACCCTATGGTGGATACGGGCTGTGGGGGGGGCCCGCTAGAAGGTTGTCTGTGAAGCCGTCACCCTCTTCTGTTTAAAACCCTTCCATGACATCCTCAAAAGTCCAGGTGTCTCCACAACCAGTCCCGCCCACTCCTTGCCCATCGTTACACTCCAGGCGGCAGCTAATCCCAACTTCCTACAACCTGGCGGGGGCTATGACATCAGTCTCCCCTTCTGCGTTTGCTCTGGGCCCTTGGAGTGCCTTCCTTGCCTTCTTTTGCTGGCTCGCTCCTAGAGGGCCTCCTGGCCCTCAGACTTCTTTTCTTCTGGCTCCCTGAAAGTAACTGGGGGGGCCCCTCCTGGCTGCACCTCTGGACATGCACCATCATGCCCTTTTCACTGCAGATATTGTCCCCACCTACTTCCTTGCCCGTCTCCCCACCAGCCTGGGCTACTCCTCAAGATCAGGGAGTAACTCGAGAAGGCGCATAGTCAGTATTTGTTAAATTAACGTATTGTTTAATATCTCCAGCCACTAAGGGCACCCCAGATGCTTTGGGCATCCTGGGCCCCGCTTGCTCTCCTCTGGGCTCAAATTAAAAGAGAGAACACGTGTGGTGCACCCAGCACCCTGTCCGGCACTCAGTAAGTAGGGGCTCAAGAAACTCAACGAGCCAATTAAATAAAACGAGGCACAGAAGAAGGCAGATGTGACCTCCTTGTTGCTGGCCAGAGGCTGTCACCCGAAGGAGCTCAGATTTCTGCCTGAGTTGGAGTGTGAGCCTTACCTTTCCTTCTTGTTCTGAAACTTTTTGACTCTATGAGCAGCCGGTTCTCAGGGGAATCTTTGTCCAGCCTCAGGGGACGAGGGGTGTGTGCTCCACAGAGGCAGTGTTCTGGGGGTGAGCTGGAGTATGCTAAGGGCGGGGGAGGGGAGAGGGGAGGCCCGGCCACCCTGAGCTCTTGCCTCCTGCGGCCCCTCCCCACGGTGGGGGTCAGGCCTTTAAAAGAGAAGTCAGCCCTGGCTTGTGTGTGCTTGAGGTAGGGAAGGAAAACCACATCTTCTTCCCCATCTGCTGCTCCCACATCACTTTTGAGGGCCCTCCGCCATCACTCGGGCCCATGTGGTGTGGGCCTCCCCGGGAGGATTTTCCCAGCCCCGATTGCCTCAGACCTCTCTGCCCTTTCACCTAGAGAGCCTCCCTTCTAGAAAAGGGATATAAGATGGTTCAAAAAAATAAGTAAAAGCACAAAGAAGAACTAAATCCCCCAGAATAAATAAGAAAGAAAACTCCCACCACTCAGAGAAAATCAACCACTGACATATGAGGTGTGTCCTTCTAGCTGCTTTTCTTTTTTTTTTTAATTAAATTTAATTAATTATTTGAGAGAGAGAGAGCATGTGCACAGGCACGTGTCGGGGGAGGGGCAGAGGGAGAGGGAGAGGGAGAGAATCCTCAAGCAGACTCCCTATTGAGCACTGAGCCCAGTACAGGGCTCCATCCCACGACCCTGAGATCATGACCTGAGCCGAAATCAAGAGTCAAACACTCAGCCAACTGAGCCACCTAGGGGCCCCCCAGTTGCTTTTCAATGCTTTTTTTTTTTTGCACTTAACCTGTTGTATCATTTTCCCTGCCGTGAAATGTTCTAGAAGTCTCTTACTGCAGAGTTTAACGGTGCGTGTGTCGGGGGGGGGGATTACACCTTGCTTCACTGAACCTCTGTAACAAGAGAAAAGCCTTCCGTTCAAATATCCTGACTCTCCCTCCCCATCCCTGCGAGTCTCAGCTCCTGTCCCCTCACCGTCCCCCCGCCTCTCTGGCAGACTGGTGCTTGCCCCTGTCACACCCGCTGGCTGGCGGTGTGGCCCCATCAGCCCGTTTGTCATTCAATTGCTCGTTCACTCGCTCATTCACTCCCTCCCTCCCTCCCTCACGCACACAGTACTGCTGTCCCTAGCACCTGCTGTGACATTGGGCTCTGGGCGACACCATCATGACCAGGGTAGACGGGGCTCCACCATCAGCGTGCTTCCTGTCCAGCTGGCTCCCATCCACATTCCTTCCCTGGTGATGTCCATGCAGCTACACGGTCGTGTGTGCCTCCCACGCGACCCACCCGCTCCTGGGGCTCCGGGTGGCAAGGGCCGGGGTGCACAGAGCCTGACTCAGCAGCAGGACGCTTGCAGAGCAAACTGCAGGCGCCAGGAGCCCAAGGTTGTGTGCCCCGAGCTGTGATCCCCCCGAGCCACACGGTGTCCTATATGTGTGGGACAGCCCCCCAGGCCAGGGGACTGGAGCAGACGACCCCCATGACCTCTCCTGGTTTGAAACAATTCTAGGTCTCAGAGGTCTTTTTTTTTTTAATCAGAAAAAATTTTAGGGCTTCCTAAAACACAAACCCATCCCCAGCAATTCTGATTCCGGACCTCTGGGGCAGGGCCTGTGGATCTGTGTTTTTGTTTATTGTGGTAAAAAGCACATACCGTGAAATTTGTCATTTTCACCATTCTTGAGTTTATAGTTCGGTGACGTTAAGTATATTCATGTTTTGGTGAAAGAGATCTCCAGAACTGTTTCATCCTGCCGACAGTTCCTTCTAAAGGGTGTCCTTTACTGTCTTCTCCCACCCGGGAACATTGTTTGAGTGACTGTTTTGAGAACTAGCTTTGTTTGGCCAATCTCCCCAGGCCAGTGCGCCTTCCTTCCTGCTAGTTCATTTCTCCACGCCTCCACTCCCTCATTCATTCGTCTTTTCCCTCTTCACCAATTCATCCTCCCGGCAAAGCCTCGAACTCCTACCCAGTGGCAGACCCGAAGTGACAGGTCCCTGGGGCCAAATTCTCTAGGGAAATTCCTTCCTCCCGATAGATCATAGGGATCCCCATTCCATTCCTGCCTTGTTCTGGGATTCAAACTCCTAACTCTTCTCCTGTCTCTTTAGATGGTGAGAATCGAGAGCCACTCCGGACCCCTAGTCAGGTAGGACAAGCTGGAGGTATACCGGGGTGGTTGGTGGGGAGAACAGAGGACGTTGGGGGCTTGAACAACCCCACTGGCCAGTGGAGGTCTGAGTGCATGGTCGATGGATGGAGTGGGGTGCTCGCCCAGAGCAAGGAGAGTGATCCCTGGGAGATCTGGTCACTGGGTCTTGTCTTGAGCTCTGGCCAGTCTGTCCCTACCCATACCCCCCATAGGAAGTGAAACTGGGGAGGGTCCTTCGATGCTGACCTGGGGGGCAGTCAAATATTTCCCAGAGAAGACCAGAGTGAGGGATGGAGGAGGCAGGTGGGGAGGCTGGGGCACCCAGGGCATCGAGGGAAGGGGAGATGTCCACACACAGGCAGGAACAGAGTCCCCTCTGGGCTGGACCATGGAGGGGCTCCGTGGACATCCACCAAGTCCTCCCATCTCCTGTTCACCCAGGCTACTCAGCAAGGGGAGCCCCACTATGAGAATCTGGAGCTGCAGATGTGGCCCCTTCAGGAAGAGCCTGTGCATCCGAGGCAGGCGGAGGTGGTATACAGCACAGTGGTGAGTGCCAGCGCCTGGCTCCCACACGGGGGTCCTGGGCTCTGCTAGGGGTACCACCCTGGGGGGTGGCAGCAGGCAGAGAGGGAAATGAGGGGCTGGCTTGCTGATCTTGTGTCTCTTCAGCACTGGCCACACAGAACCTAGGGCAAGTATCGATTCTGCCTGAGCTTGGTGTCACTGTAGCTGGGGGCTGGCGCGGGAGATGAAGGGGCTATCAGGGTGGTCAGTGATAGTCAATAGTCAGTAAAGCATAGCATTTATTAAGCACCTACTATATACCACACGCCAGTGTGAAAGCCTGAGATTTCCCACTGTTTTGGGTACCATTATTTCTTCTGTATCAACTCTGCTTTTCAGGTTTTGAATCAGTGACCCCCTGTAGGTCAACCCTTAGGCACAGAGACTGTAAAGTGACACATGGAAGAGGTCCCCCCGTCACTGTGGTCAAGACCCACCTGCTTGTGAAAGAGTTCAGGGAGAGATTAGGGGACTAGTTGTTGGAGAAGATGAGGGGGAGATAAGCATCAGACACGTGGGCCTGGGACTAGCAACGTCCTTGATTTTCTAATTTGGTGATTAGTGATCTCGAAGTGGATCCTAGGCATTCTCTGCAACCCCAGCCCCCCAGCCCCGTGCCTGGGTCTGATGCTTGGGACTTTGTGCTGTGTTTTCACAAGTGGGGTGAAGCAGGGGTGTGGGCAGGACAGTGGGGAAGTCTGGACACTCCCACCGTGAAGGCCCCCCGCTCCAAGCCTCCTGTCCCTCGGGGGTCCCCCGTCTCCATCCTGAGCTGGGGGTCCGTGCTTCTCCCCCCTCTCCCTGAGCCTCCCGTCTCTCTCTCTGCAGAAGGCTCCCAGGGAAGAACTTCACTACTCGTCCATGGTATTTGACCTCCAGAGTGGGGATTCTAAAGCCAAAAAGATTCGCTCCCAGAGGACCCTGGAGGAGACACAGTACAGTGTGATTAAGAAGACATAAGCCTGTGTCACCAGCCCCACCATCTGGAGGTCTCTGTGGGCCACAGAAGCCGAGGACCAGCCCCCTCAGCCCTCACCCATGTCCCCCTCAGCCTGCTCCCCTCGAGGGTCACCAACAAGGCAGCTAGGCGCCATCAGCCTGGCTGGCTTCGCTGGGGAGGAGTGGAAGCGGGATTCCAATGGGGACCTGTAGGAACCCTCCATCCCACAGGCTCTTGTCACATCTTTCCTCTCTTCTCTGCTTCCTTCCAGCTGTGTGTGGAGGGCAGGAGCTCAGTCCTGTGTGGCTCCAGGAAAAGACGTGACCCATGTGGGATGGTACCTGCAAAAACCTTTATAAATCACAGCTCCATGGAAGTGTCTGGATTGCTGCAGCTTGGGGAGAACCAGCAGAGGGATCGGGAGAATACAAAAGCCCTGAAGATGGAGTCTCCCTTGTCTCATGGACAAGGATGCTGAGGCCCAGAGAGCAGAGGCTTGCCCATGGTTCCAGAACCAGGGGCACATTCCTCTGGACTCTTAGATAATTTTACTTTTAATATTAAGAGATATCAGTACAGTTTAAAATATCTTCGGAGAGAAGAAAAAGGTTATTTAAGCCATACCTGCCCTGTGCCCGCAATCCTGTATTAAAGAAAGCTCCTCCCTTTTGAAGGCTGAATAGAGTTCCATTGTGGGGATATAGCACACTATACTCATCTTTTCATCCATCGGTGGACACTTGGTTGGTTTCTGTGTTTTAGCTATTGTGAATTTGTTGCTAAGAACATGGTATATAAATATCTCTTTGAAACCCTGCTTTCAATTCTTTTAGATATATACCCAGAAGTGGAATTGCTGAATCATTAGAAAAATCTATTTTTAAGCTTTTGAGGAACTGCCATCCTGTTTTTCCACAGCAGCTGCATCGTTTTACATTCCCACCAGCAGGGCACAAGGCTTCCAATTTCCCCACATGCTCTCCAACACTTGTTTTCTGTTTTTGCTTGTTTGTTTTGATAGTAGCCATCCTAATGGATGTGGTATATCATTGTGATTTTGATGGGCATTTCCCCAGTGATGAGCGATGGCGAGCACCTTTTCATGTCCTCGTTGCCCAGCTCTGTGTCTTCTTTGGAAATGTCTGTTCAGGTCCTTTGTCCAGTTTTGAAATGAGGTTTTTTGTGGTTGAATTTTAGCTGTCTATTTATTCTGGATAGTAATCCCTTACCAGATATATAATTTGAAAATATTTTCTCTCATTTTGTAGATTGTCTTTTTATTCTGTTGATAGCATCTTTGATGCACAAAACTTTTTTTAAGGTTTTATCTATTTATCTGAGAGAGAGAGGGAGAGCAAGCAAGCATCAGAGTGGGGAGAGGCAGAGGGAGAGGGAGAAGCAGGCTCCCCACTGATCAGGGAGCCCAATGCAGGGCTCAATCCCAGGACCCTGGGATCATGACCTGAGCCGAAGGCAGATGCTCAATGGACTGAGCCACCCACGCACCCCTGATGCACAAAACTTTAATTTTCTTGATGTCCTATTTGTCTATTTTTTCTTTTGTTGCTTTTGCCTTTTGGGTCAGATCCAAAAAATCATTGCTGAAGTCAATGTTGTGAAGCTTTTGCCCTATATTTCCTTCTATGAGTTTTATAGACTTATGTCCTATATTTAGGTCTTTGATCCATTTTGAGTTTGTTTTTGTATATGCTGTTAGGTAAGGGACCAACTTAATTCTTTTGCATGTAGACATCCAGTTTTCCCAACACTGTTTATTGAAAAGACTGTCCTTCCCCATTGAATGGCCTTGGCCCCTTTGTTGAAAATCATTTGGCAACACTTAGGAGGGTTTATTTCCAGACTCTATTTTACTCCATTGGTCTCTATGACTGACTTCATATCAGCATCACTGTGTTTCAGGTGCTTTTTATTTTTTAAGATTTATTTATTTATTTTAGAGAGAGTGTGTGTGTATGTGTAGGGCAGAGGGAGGGAGGGAGAGAGAGCGAGAGAGAGGGAGAATTTCAAGCAGACTCCTTGCTGAGTATGGAGCCCAACACAGGGCTCAATCCTAGGACCCTGAGATCATGACCTGAGTGGAACCAAGAGTCCAATGCTTAACCACTTGAGCCACCCATGTGCCCCAGCATCAGTCTTTTAATTACTGTGGCTTTGTAGTAAGTTTTGGAACCAGAAATGTGGGTCCTCCAGTTCTTTTTTAAGATTATTTTTCCTAGTCTCATGAGATCTCACAAGATTCTGTACAAATTTTAGGATGGGTTTTTCTATTTCTGCAAAAAATGTCATTGGGATTTTGATAGGGATTGTATTGAATCTGTAGATCACTTTGTGTAGTATTGACATCTTAACGATATTAAGCCTTCCAATCCATGAACATGAGATGTCTTTTCATTTATTTGTGTCTTTAATTTCTTTCAGCAATGTTTTGTAGTTTTCATGGTACAAGTCTTATACCTCCTTGGTTAAATTAATTCCTAAGTATTTTACTCTTTTTGATTTTATTGTCAATGGAATTGTTTTCATAATTTCCTTTCCAGATTGTTCATTGTTAATGTATGGAAATGCAACTGATTCTTGTGTGTTGGCTTTGTATCTTGCTACTCACTGAATTCATTTATTTGTTCTAACTTTTTTTTTTGGTTGAATCTTTAGGGTTTTCTACATGTAAGACCATATCATCTTCAAACAGAGTTAATTTTATTTCTTCCTTTACAATCCGGATGCCTTTTATTTATTTTTCTTGCCTAATTGCTCTGCCAGATCTTCCAATGCTATGTTGAATAGAAAAGGCACAAGGGGGTATCCTTGCCTTGTTTCTGACCTTAGAGGAAAAGCCTTTAGTCTTTCACAGTTGAGCATGATGTGGATTTTTCATGCGTGGCTTTTACTATGTTGAGGTAGTTTGCTTCTATTCCTAGTTTGTTGAGTGTTTTTGACCATGAAAGAGTGTTGGATTTTGCCAAATGCTTTTCCTGCATCAACTGAAATGATTTTTTTTCTTCTTTATTCTGTTAATGGAGTGTGTTCCATTGATCAGTTTTTTCCATTGAAACATTTTGCATCCCAGGAATAAATCCCCCTTGGCCATGGTGTGTAATCCTTTTGCTGTTTTGCTGAATTCAGTTTATTAGTATTTTGTTGAGGATTTTTTTGCATCAATGTTCATAAGGGATAGTAGACTGTAGTTTTCTTTTCTTGCAGTGTTTTGTCTGGCTTTGGTATCAGGATGATACTGGCCTCATACAAGGAGTCTGGAAATGTTGCTTCTTTCTCTGGTTTTTGGAAGAATATAGGAAAGATTGGTATTCATTTTTCTTTAAATGTTTGCTAGAATTAATCTGGGAAGCGATCTGTTCAGACTTTCTCCTCCTCCTCCTCCTCCTCCTCCTCCTCCTCCTCCTCTTCTTCTTCAGAGAGAGAAAGAGCATGTGAGTGGGGGGAGGGACAGAGGGAGAGGCAGAGAGAGAATCTCAAGCAGACTTTATGCTGAATGCAGAGCCCAACGTGGGGCTCGATCTCACAGCCCTGAGATCATGACCTGAGCCAAAATCGAGTCGATAACCAACTGAGGCACCCAGTGACCCCAAGACTTTCTTTTTCTTGATTCAGTCTTGCTAGGGTCTAGGAATTTGCCCATTTCACCTACATTACCCAGTTTGTTGGTCTACAGCTGTTCACAGCAGTGTCTTGTAAATCTTTCTGATCTTATGGAGTCTGTAGTAATGCTCCCAATTTCATTTCCAATTTTGGTAATTTCATTATCTTTCTGTTTTTGTTTTGTTTTGTTTTTTAGTCCATCTAAGTCAAATTTTGTCAGTTTTGTTGATCTTTTGAAGAAACAAGTTTTGGTCTCACTGATTGTCTCTATTTTTTCCCCCTATTCTCTAATCTGTCCTCTAATCTTCACTATTCCCTTCCTCCTGGTAGCTTTTGGTTTATTTTGTTCTTTTTTTTAATTCCCTAAATTGTGAGGTTAAGCTTTTTATTTGAGATCTTTCTCATTTTTTAACGTGAGCCTTTACAGCTATAAATCTCTCCCTTAGCACTGCTTTTGTGCATCCCATGTTTAGTATGTTGCACTTTTGTTGTCATTCATCTTTGAGTATTTTCTTTTTTTCTTTTTTTTTTAAGATTTTATTTATTTAATTGACAGAGAGAGACAGAGAGACAGAGAGAGAGGGAACACAAGCGGGGGGAGTGGGAGAGGGAGAAGCAGGCTTCCCGCCGAGCAGGGAGCCCGATGCGGGGCTCGATCCCAGGACCCTGGGATCATGACCAGAGCCGAAGGCAGTCGCTTAACCAACTGAGCCACCCAGGTGCCCCCATCTTTGAGTATTTTCTAATTCCTTCTTTGATCCACTGGTTGTATAAGAGTGTGTTGTTTAGTTTCCACAAATTTGTGAATTTTCTGGTTTTACCTCTGTGACTGATTTCTAACTTCATTCTGTAATGGGCGGAGAAAATTCTTTGTATGATATCTATTTTTAAAAATCTACTGAGATGTAGTTTATGGCCTCACATATGGTTGATCCTAGAAAATGTCCCATGTGTACTGGAGAATGTGAGTGCTGTTGTTGGGTAGGGTGTTCTGTGTATGTCTGTTAGACCTCGTTGATTTACTGTGTTGTTCAAGTCTTCCATTTCCTCATTTATCTCCTGTCTGGTTGTTCTATCCATTATTGAGAGTGGGCCATTGACGTCTTTAACTATTATCATAGAATCTATTTCTCTCTTCAGTTCTGTCAGTTTTTGCTTCATATATTTTAATGGTCTGTTGTTAGGTGCATAAAGATGTATGATTGTTAAATCTTCTTGCTGTCACTACCTATCCGACTTTATGCTGTATGAGAAATAAACCTGAACGTGGTTTAAAACAGAAGGACATGGTAGAAGATAGGATCTAAGACCTAAGGGATTATTTGAAGGACTGTTTCTCTCTCTCTTTTTTTTAAAGATTTTATTTATTTATTTGAGAGAGAGAGAGAGAGAAACAGTATGAGAGGGGAGAAGGTCAGAGGGAGAAGCAGGCTCCCCGCTGAGCCGGGAGCCTGATGTGGGACTCGATCCCAGGACTCCGGGATCATGACCTGAGCCGAAGGCAGTCACTTAACCAACTGGAGCCACCCAGGCGCCTGGACTGTTTCTCTTTAAATGCAGTGGATTTTAAATCTTTATTTAGTCTGAATTTCCACCAGTTAGGAAAAAAATCCTCTGTAAAATGCAAAGTTCTAGAGTATAAGCAAGTGTAATTGATGCTAGCTGCTATAACAACCACAACCATGCCAACAAAACTGGTTGGAGTGGCAGTGGGGAATAGATCAAGAGGGTATTTCTATCATAGCCACACACTGTCCCCACCCTCCTGCCCCATGAATCTCTAAGGTGGGGGAGAAATTTCCCAGTGTAGACTGCCTGTCATGGTGGCTACCCCTTGGGAGTCCTTAAAATCACTTCCCAACAGTGGGTCTCAGTTAGGACCATTCCAATTCTCCAGAGGTCTAACAGCACAAGGGAGTGTGCTGGCTCTCCATCTTTTCCCCCCAGAAGTCTTGTTGCTTTAATCTACACGAATTTGTCCAGCTCCCATTCAGGAAACTGTGCATACCAAAGGACTTTGGGAAAGGGAATCTCTGTCAAGTCAGATTTCTTTCTTTTTTTAAAAAAAGATTTTTATTTATTTACTTGAGAGAGAGAATGAGAAAGAGAGAGTAGAAGAAAGGAGAGGGTCAGAGGGAGAAGCAGACTCCCTGCTGAGCAGGGAGCCCGATGCAGGACTTGATCCTGGGAC